CCCAAGTCACTAGTTGGTGACCTAAACACTTGGCCACCACCGCCCCTGAAAGCAGCCCCTCACGCTCTCTTCACTCTATGTAATGTTTCTGAAACAAAAGTTACATCAGTGGTACGACAGTCGTACAGATTTTCCGATGTTTAATCGTGGTTGTGTAAAATATAAACTTCTACGCGGTTAACAACATTTCTAACCTCCATATTTCCCGATCGCCAATCGCCAAACGGAAATGATCATATGACCAACTCTGTCAACATTGAATTTTCAGTACTTTCGTTAGTCTCCCCATAGATACACAATTGTCGCTGATCAGCTGCTCGATCTAACTTCTGAGGTCATCGATTACCTTAGTATCTCTCTCTCTCTCATTTTGACCGGCGAGTTGTAGGGTTTTTGTTAAAACCATTCGTGATTGTAGTCTTCATATTCAACCAATCACATCCTTGTTTATCCGTCACTGTGGCTACTGTTTTTTTCATTCTAAAGTGATCACTCCAGATCCGTTTGTGCGCACTTTTTCTATAGTGTCACGTTTGCAAATATTGCCCATTTTGTAAAAGTTCAGAAGTCCTTTGGGGTTCAAGCTTATACCACAACACAATTTACACTTTATTGCAGTATCCACTGTTTCATTTGCGCTGTGATGATTGTACGCATATCTATCACATATTGTTTTTAGTGATATTTTACATCGAGTAATGTCTCCTCAGAAAACAGTACAAATTGTGATGTAAGAATTTCGCTCTCACCAAACTTCATAACCATCTGATTCTTTTAATATCAATTTCAGTTTGTACAACCATCAACCATGCAATATCGTGCGCTGGTATTGGTTGCTGTCTTGTGGCTGTCTATTTAGATGAACATGAGGCGAAAGACAGGGAAGGTTGAAAGTAGGATCGAAGAGAAAAAAAGTGCAGTGGACTAATGATACAGAGAAATTGAGAAGATGCACGAACGTCACTGTTTACGACACCCAGCCATATCACTCTGTGTCTCTAACTATCGGGTACGACCATCCCGAGGTCCCCATCCAGGGAGCCTAACGGGGCCTATGTGACCCAGACTCCTGGTTAGGGGTTTTATACCCTCATCCTAGGTTTTAGCTTGATCACCCTGGGATTTATTCCACCCACTACCTGCCTCGGCGAACATCGATCGCCGTGGCAACCTATCCGGTGACATGTGTAACACATGCCCCAACCAGCGTAATCTATGGAGGTCGACCACTTGCTCCAGTGAGCGACCGTGGTTGCCTAAAACTCTGCGCCTAACCTAATTGGAGCCTTTGGCTCAGGATAAAAATAGATTGTTGGTATTCGAACACCGCTGTATACGTCGCATTGCACGAGTCTGGTGGAGTAACTGGACGAGCAATGCATTCCGAAGCGAATGTTGCTTGTGGGTCTGAGCCTCAAGCCCGGCGAAGTCATTGGATATCTCAGGAGTC